GGCTGAGGGGGGATCTAGTGGCCAGTTACAAACTAGTCAGGGGGGGGATCAGCAGGCACTGGGGAAGTCCCTGTTCCCCCGAGCACTGCCAGGAGTGACCAGAAATAACGGTCACAAGCTGGTAGAGGGAAGATTTAGGCTAGATATCAGGAGGCGCTACTTCACTGTCAGGGCGGCTAGGATCTGGAACCAACTTCCAATAGAAGTGGTGCTGGCTCCTACCCTGGGGGTCTTTAAGAGGAGGTTAGATGAACACCTTCCTGGGGTCGTTTGACCCCAGTAATCTTTCCTGCCATGGCAAGGGGTCGAACTAGATGATCTACTCAGGTCCCTTCTGACCCTAGAAACTATGAAACTATCAATACCAAGTAGGTTTCAGAACCTCACCTTTCACATTCTTTGGTTTTCTTATATACCATTTGAATGTTGTATTAACATTGCAGTATCATTTTGGTGCTTTCAAAGAGACGGAAGCATCCATGTGCTATTCATAGGATTTGAATGCCTAACACCCTTAGGCTCTTGAAAACCCCAATTTAAAAAGGGGCGGGGCATGCAATGAGGACAACTGCTCATTTGGCTTACTTACATTTTTGGCTTCCTGATTATATAGCATTATTAGATTTACCAGTAGGACATACAACTTCAGCTAACAAAAGCAGAATCTTATACAGCATAATGAAAAGCACAGGCTTAAATTTAAATCTGCCTCCAGCTCAGGAATGAAGTCTTTTACAGTGTAAGTTCCAAATCATATCCTTTGTTTAAACTGAACAGTACTTTCAGTCAAGCAAAGGTACAAACACACACTAAGGCCATATAAAGCGTTAGAACGTCTAGTGTGCCCCTAATCAAAAGTGTGGTCAGATTTTTATATCTACACATATAAACTATATATACTATATATACATTAAACATTTCCCACAAGAGGAGGGGTGTGTTGTCTTGTCTTACCTATAACTCAATTAAACAGATATTAAACTATACAACATGAAAACTTCCAGATAGGTAAAGAACATTTGATCCTGGATAGAGAAATTAATACCTGTAACAGTCATTATTAAAGTCCAAATATTTTGCATGCAGTCCTGTTAGCCATCTTGATCACATTCTTTGTGCTACTTTCTAGTATGAAAAAATAAATAAAGAAAGGTATCCTATAAAGTATCTGGGCAAATATGAAAACGGTTATACTTACTACCAGTTACACAGAGCCTTTAGGATATGTACTTTCCCATTATAGTCATTTTAAATATAGTTAATTTCATTTTAGAATGTACTATCATGCAAAAAACCTTTTATACTGAACTGCTAAAATGAAACACTTAAATATTTTAGAAAAAAAATGCACAAGCATAAATTTGATCCATCTCTAAAAGCTGTAACTCAATTGTTCCTTTATTTGCTGAGGCACATTAACACAAGCCAAGCCCTGGCCTGTATTGGGACAATGAATGTGTATATCAATTTCATTTGCTGCTCTAATATTACAAAATTAAAATAACATTTTGGTCAGTTTTTCCTTTGGTTGTTTTTAGTTTCAGGTTTGTTTTCTTGGACTAAATATAATCCTCTCACATACCTTGTTTGTTTGTTTTTTTACCACTCTGCCAGGTTCCTTTTTTTACATGTGCTCAGCTATCCCCAGCAGTAAGCCAATGTGCCAACAAGTAAAAAGCTCCATTTATGATTCCAGTTTTTACCTGAAGATGGTACCATTAAAACATTTCTAGAGAAAGTTAAAAAGTTTGCAGGAGCCATAGCATGTCACTAGGTTATAGATTTCACACATCCAAAAATCAGAACTGTTGTCCCACATTTTCCCATTAGTTACATTCTCTTCACCAATCCAGATATCTTATGAACACTCAGTGAAAGAGAATTGCACAATCTGTCAATAAAGTAAGCGTATTTTGAACTACTGTCCATATGACTCAATTTGTCAGTAAAAACTGCCACCACCGCTGTGCTTGCAGAAAAATGTCCATAAATGCATTATTGCGACTGGCAGATCGATGTCTATAATAAAAACAAATAGATTTAACAAGTGCTTGCTTTTACGAGTTATGCTATTGGTGGAACACACATTCAGTTTCACCCTTCAACTTCTGGGAATGGGCAATACAGGCAGTGTAGGATACTTTGCTGACTACACTGGTGTTACAAACAGGAAATTATTCTAACACAGGAAATCTTTAAAAGTATTAGACTGAATGCTTATGAATACAACATGTATTTATAGCTTTCACACATTTAGGATTTAGCTCATTGTTCTACAAATTTCTCCAAAAATGTGCAAACTTTACAACTGTAATAAAGAACACAGATTTCTTTCCCTCCCGTTGCAGAAAATTGAAACTAGTTTTGAAAACAGCTGCATCCCAAGCCAAATGGCTCACTACTCTTGAGACTGGTACAGGAAAACTGTATTTTTGCTCCCATGAGACCATGATTCAACTCCTATGCCACTAAACTAATTGAGAACAACCACTGCTGTTCAAACTGAGTTTCAACATCCAACATGTGGGCCAGAGTGTCACCTTTTCTATCAGTAGTCCCTTGGGTAGCGTACGGGGGGAATTATGTATTGTTTAGCCAAAGTAAGATTGGTTATAGGGGCTGTCACAGACTGGTTTAAATTTTAAGGATAACAGCTGTTTTGGCTCTATCAATGCTTAACTGCACTTATGTAAGGGGACAATACTAACAAAAACTACCATCCATTTTCTAAACCTGATCTTCTTTAAGCTTTCCAGGCTGTTTCTTCTTTTTGCAAATGACATTAAATTATTCTGTCACCTAAACCCACAGATTTAAAATGGTGTTAAATCCCATTTTTCTTTGGCACAGTCTTTCTACCTTACACAGTTCTCAAAAAGAACTTCCTAACACTTTTTCTGCCCAAGTTCCCAAATTAGTCATTTAAGTAAACCCCTGTTAGCCTTCCCAAAGGGCATGAGTTTCTCCTTCAGGCTACTATCACTTTAGTGATGCCATTAACTGATTCTCTACATATGTTAAGCATTAAACAGTGGTGACAAGTTAATTACAGGAGTTATCAAGAGATAAAGTAGTCACAGTAACACAAGTTGCAGTGTAACAACTATAGTTTCCTATGGAGCTTGCGTGCAGTTGCTGGTGTAATTGGTGTAATTAACTCATCATGGATCAGAACCCAGATGGAATCTGTTGAAGCCATCTTACAAGGTCACAGATACACCTACTTGGCTCTCAGAACTTTGGCTGAAAAATTATTTCCATCCTACCAAAAAAGCAAAATTCTAGAAAAAGCTTTAGCTGTATAAATAAAAGTGTCCAATACACTAACTGACCTATGATCAAGAAATTAGTTAATACATAATAATTTTACTACATGAAGATAAAATTTAAGTTTATATAAATATAAAAGATACTCACAAAATGCTGTCAGGAAGAGATTTGTAGTGCCTTCTTTGTTTCTAAACAGATAGAAGTAATCTGCAATAGGAGGAATAGAGTTTTTTTCATATGTTAACAAGTCCAGACTTGCTGGATGCACATTACAGCAGTCAAATAAGCTTGCCAAGGACACCACACCATGCCAACAAAACTTTGAAATCAAAGACAAAGAAAACGTATGCTTTCAGGGAGAAGAAAAAATAATTAACTACTAAACTGATCAACTGAATTTGAGAAGATAGTCTCATGCAGTGAACATAGGACTAGGAACCAAACCTAAACTGTCCCATATCCACCTCATAAAACCCCTATAGGTCTCATTCTGCAGAACAGGAGGCAGAGGTGGATTTCTGTCAACTCTGCCCACTTATTCCACCATTTCCACCAGAGGCCTTGGGACTGGCATTCATAAACAGAAAGGCAGGCAGGACTGGTAGAAGCACTTCCAACTTACCAACCCTGCATGGAAATTCCACATTACAATTAATTTTTACTCATCTGAGTAGCACCCCCTGAATAAGCAAGATGGAATTTTAATGCACAAAGGCATCAATTGGAGTATTGTGGCTCAACTGAAGTTACATTTCTATATAAGGGAAGACCAAAGGCCACAAAGACAGTTCAGAAGCAAAGAGCCTCTCTGCAGCCAGTCCTAGTGGATTTCCAGTCTCCAGTGGATTTCCAAGGGTTTGCAGGCCAAAACTTTAATCAGTTCCACAAAGGGGCTATCCCTTGCTATTAAGATAAATGATTCCAGGTGATGTACTGCAGCATTTCCAGTACTCTTATTCCCCCCCACACACACATTTTTTTTTGTTGCTTAATGGACAATGGAGACTCAAGAATAGTTGACTTTGGCACTCATGCTACCTCGAAAAAGTTACTTATTTACATTATACTTCATTTCATTACTTGTAAAAGGACGATAAGCATCAAACTGAAGCAAGGCTAGTTATATGCTGCTTTGAAAATCTGAAAAACTAAAGCACTGCATATAATCACTTTTTAGGATAATAAAAGTATTAAAAATCAATAATTAAACAATTAGCAGTAGCTATACTGTTATTTACTTCCCGAACAGTGGGAGTAGCAAAGTAGCTTCTTCATCTATATTTACTTTTTCCAATTTTCAGAACTTCTGGACATAAGTGTGATATTTTTCCATATTGTACCATGAGCTTTTTTTAAAAAGAAAAGAAAAGCAAGAAGCAATATATCCCTTAATCTTTATTTTACATTCTCCTTACTTTCTCTCTTACATTGGAACTGTACTTGATTATTCTGTTTTACAGCCCAGTTTCAGCAAATGAAGAGATCTGGAATGCAAGTAACTCCCAGTGAGGAGTTACCATCACACTCCCACTACAAATAGCACATGTGGCAGAGCCTGAACAGACTGAGAGCGGGGTCTCGGCAGATACAACTTCCTCATGAAATCACTGGGCCTCTACACAGCCAGCCAGTGTGTGTCTCAAGAAAAGCAAACCATGAATCATCTCCTGAAACGCTCTGTAGCACCACAATGCATCCCACAAGCTTCGGCAATAAGACCACCAGAAGCAGTTGCCTGTGCAGAATATTAGGAGCAGACCATATAGAAAGGATGGCCTGGAGACATGACAAGGAAGACAACTAAAAATATGCTCTCTCCATAGTATCTTAGATCCTAGAGGGGTGCGGGCCAGCATGCCACAAATTAGTCATGCAACATCCCTTAAGGGCTACTCTAATCACCCTCCTCTACCTCCTCTTCTGTGTTCCCTGCCTGAACTGCTGCTCTAATTTCTGCTTCCTACTTATCTGCTGCAGTGCTGCCTGCTCCCTCCCTCCTGTGCCACATGCCACACAGCATCCACTCTCAGCCACTGCACCACAGGCAAGATGCACCTAGGGCCTGACCCAGTACAGGGCAGCTTGTATGTTCTGGAGGGGCTGCCTGTGCCTAGGTCTCATGCCATGTCGTCCCCGTTGGTCATACCCTGGGCAGGGGGTCGGGAGGTCACCTCAGGGAAAAAAATAATCAAGTTGATACTGCAGAAAACAACTGAGCTATACAAGTGGACTCTGCTCCCCCACACAGATCCAGCTCCACATGCCTGCTGATACACTTGGCTGCAGAGGGGCTGGCACTGCCGCTCTCATCTTGTAAGACAGGGCACAGGTGCCAGAGCGTGGCACGTGACGACATTTTGCTTGGGGCAGATGGCAGAGGCCAGGGTTGTGCTACCACAACAAGCATCGGGCCCCTCCTCTGCCCACCCCTGTAACACCAACATCTTACGAACAGAGGCTGCAGCTGTTTTGGGGCACTCTGCCCAAAAACCCTGCCAACCTGTTGTACGAGGAGCTGCCTTGGGGGCAGTGAAATTGCCCCAAGCCTGCAGCTCCCGATGTTTTAGGGGCACCTTTCTCTGCGCACTGAGGAGAGCGGGGCTTAGGCCTCAGGGAGATGAGGCGATGCCCTCTGGCAGCATGGGGTGCGCTTTCAAGAATATACTAAAGGGTGGCAAGCAAACTTTAAAAAGAAAAGGCGGGGTGAGGGTGGAGGGTCAACCCACTTGAAAAAAAAAAGGGGGCTCCTGTTTTCAAGGAGAAAAAACGAGGGGAACCCTATCTGCCAGGGGCTGCTTGGGCCCTCCCCGTGCCTCACGCACGGAGGGGTGGGCACCGGCCGTCTGGGTTTAGAAATGGGTCGTGATGCAGCCCCACCTCCTCCTCGTCGTGGCTCAGCGCTGAGGGCTCAGACGTACCGGGCGCGCTGCTGCCCGCTCCGCCTCGCTCGGCGGGAGGAAGCAGAGCGCGGCAACCCCCGCCCCCCTTCCGCCTGCGCGGGGACCTGACGAGCCGCCCGCGCAGGCGCCGCAGGGGCTGGAGCCGGTCCTGCCCGGGTGCAATGCAGCGCAGCGGGCTGGGGCTGTGCTCGGGTGTCTGCACAGCCCTGAAGGGAAAGAAGGGGCCGTGTCTAGACGCAGGATTTGGCGCTGTTGTCCGGGGGCGGAGCGGGTAGTTGCTCCTGATGCAGAAAAGCCCGCCTGGGCCTGGCCCCAAGCCCCGGGGAAAGCCGGTGTGATCCTCCCGGGCCTGGCAGGGCAGGGCAGGGCAGTGTTCCCATTGCATAGGCAGGGAAGACCGATGCGATTCGCATCCTGCGCTCACTTGCGCCCGTGCTGCAGGCTGTGCAAGTGCCAGGCAAAAGCGCCACCAGCATCCGGCCACTCACTACCGTAAGAAAATACCCAGAGTTTTCTGGCAGGGAAAAGATCCTGCCCAAGGTAATGCAGTGAAAACGGCACTGCATCATGGAGGGGGCGCAGCCTTGTCTGCTTGCGCACAAGACTCCCTCCGACAGCTTCGTAGTGAGCTTCCCGCTGCCCAGGTGGGGGAGGATCTGGGCTAGGTGACAACTTCATGGAAACGGGGGACTGCTCCCTAGCTTGCTCCATATGGCCGAGGGCAAGCCAAACTCGAGGGCATCCGAACCCCAAGCTTCTGGGCTCGGGCCTGCAAGCGGGGTGCCCGACAAATGATTCGGAAGCACCGGGTGGGGGTGGAGGATGTTTGCTGGCTGTAGGGCCACATTTGGCTCTTGAATGAGTCATGGATTTGGAATGGATTTGGCTAGGTTGACTTGGGACATGAAAAAATTTTCCTTAAAAGTTAACATCCAAAGATTTCTGATACTTTAAAGGCTGATACAGTAGGAAGTTGGGGTGGGGCTCAGTTTTGATCATCAGAGTTTCGTAGGATCCAGTCAAGAAGATCCAGCTTTGTTTTTTTTCATTTGCAGAGTTGTAAAGACAAGGATGAATGCAGACAAGCTCAGGAAGTCTATAACTGGGGAATTGCTAAAGGAAGTGGTTTGAGTAGTGAAGGTTGTGTTAGAGAAGACGTGGAGTGAGTTGCAGAGTTGGTGATGCTGAAAAAGGTAGGGTGAGGCTTAGTTGAGTTAATAAACGATGGTGAGCACGCAGTGAAGAGGGGTTACTAAAATTTACCAAAAAAGCAAAACCCCAAATTATTGGAACTCATTTTAAAGCTCTTTATATACAGTTGGGAGATTCTGGAGTGTAATCATGAGATTGTCAGACAAGCGAAGAATCAACTAATGAGGGAGACCCAGACAAAAAGCACTTTCCCTCTTGTGACTGAGCATCATAACCATAAAGGCATCAGATTTAAAATCTGGTTACAGATAACGAGATCGCTTCTGTGTTTTGGCTTCAGGGAATACCCAGCACTTATTTTCTGAGAAGCAGACTTTTTGAACTCCCTGTCTAACTCAACTCTTTGTTCTTTGGCTCCTTGGTTTTCAATCCACTTAAAAAAGTGTCAAGTCAGGACAGCAGGTAGGATGGTTAGCCCCAGCTGGGCCTAACTACCTGAGTGCCAGTGTTGCCAAGTCTCACGAGAAAAAATAGTGGCACTGCCTTTAAAAACAAGCCCAATCCGTTTCAAGCCCATAACAATCCCTGCACCCAGGATTTTGGTGTGGATATAGCCCCCCTAGTGCCGCCCCTCCTCCACACAGCAGGGCAGGGAGCTGCTCCAGGACTGGGCTGGGGTCTTGTGGTGGTGACAGCATGGTCCGGAGGTGGGGCAGAGCCACAATTTGCAGCTTGCATGCCCCAGGCAGGGATGTGCAAGCAGCAGATCGCGGCTTTGCCATGGCTCCGAACTATGCCTCAATCCACTGCCCGCATGCCCCTGCCCAGCGCATGCAGGCTGCAGATTGTGATTCTGGACCACGCTGTCACCACTGCAAGATCCGAGCCTGGCTGGAGCAGCTTTGCGCCCTGCTGCGTGCCCTGCCAGCACTGCTGGGGCTGATCCACATGGAAACCCCGCCCTGCGTTCTCAGAGCATGGCTGCTGCTGGGGTCTCCATGGAAACCCTCCCCACCCATGCCCAATTCCAGTGTCACAGCAGCTGTTCAACAGGACAGAAAAGTCTGTGTCTAACCTGAGCTTCCAGCTTCTAGTTCCCTGGTTCTTCACTTGTTGGAATCTAGTTCCTCATTTTTCATTCCCATTTTGGATCCTGCTCTTCTTGTTCCTGACTTGACTCCAGGTCTTGGATCTCATGGCTCTAATCTGGACTCCTTTTTTCAGACTTGCTGCTTCATGACCTCTCCTTGTTCCTAACTCTAGTCTAAACTCCCCTGTCTTCTGACAGCTGGCTCTTGTCTTACAGTGTTAGTTTGGTAATCACAAGTGTCCTGGTCCCTTTTTGCTATAGCTGCCTGCTTGGGACTCCCTGGCTAGTGAGGCTTATCTGAATCCTTGCTTTTCTATTCCTGACTCCTGCCCCCTCCCCTGCTATTACTTTGCCCGCCTTTGTCCTTGTCTCTCTCAGACTTCTTGGCTCTATTTTGGGCCTTGTCTAGTCCTGACTTTGTCTGCTTTTAACCCCCCTGGGTTATGAACAAGAAAGTCTTGAATGAAACTATTTGCCATAGGCATGTTTTGTTTTTGTCCCCCTTAAGAGGGAGAGCAGTTACATTTTGGTTGAAGAATCGTGGCTACATTAATCCACAGGTCAAAAGGTCAAGATATCCAAACTAATTCCTGCTGTTAGCTGCCATTTGCAAACAAGTCAAGTTAAAAAAAAGACTTAAGTGGTCTCCAGGTTGAATAAGAACTAATATAAATAGTTAAATAAGATTAAAAGAGCTTCATTCATGTGATCACTATTTTGGTGACACAGTTTTGGAATATCAGAAAGCAGGGAGGCTTCAGATGGGAGGCTGCATTAAACCCAGCAGCTTTTGGGCTTGGGCCATGGTCTGTTACCAAGCCTTAAAATCAGAAGTACCTCTGGCTACAAGTACCTAAATGCTGCAGGTTGGGACCTGTTACCCACTAGTTTTTCTAAAAGAGATGAAATCCCTGAGCCTGCTATTGTGTAGTGCAGGGTCTAGAAGAGCTGGGGTAGCTGAGTTACTTTAAGAGAAGTGGCAACCCCTAGCAGAACAGGAGCAGGGAGCACTGATGACCTCTGGCATGGGTCCTCACCCAGCACTTAAGCTGTCATAGGTGGTAGAGGCCCAGAGAAGATCCATGCATGAGTCTCCCTTCACAGTGTGGGCTAAGTAGCAGAGCTCCATTTCAATTTGCTCTGTGATAGAGCAGGGAGTCCCTCTGTTAGCACCCTTCCCTAAGAGGTCTACCAAGCGGACAGAGGAGTTGTAGGGACTAGCAGCTACACTAGCTGCCGTAGCTATCAAGTTCACCCTGGTTGAAACTTGGAAAGTACTCTAATAGCATTGACCATGGTAACTGGTTAACAGTCACTTGGGGTGCAGACAGAAATTACATGCATCCCACGATAGGCCCCTTGAAAGTGCTCTAAATCTATGCCCAAACAGAAGACCATGGCTGCAGAGCCCACTGATGGCGC